AACCAGGAACCAGAAAGAATAGCTCTCTTCTGCATTTCTGGTCTCCAACAAGGACATTCCCAGAACTGCTGTTTGGGGTCCCTGACTTACCTGACCAGCTCCCATCTCCTGTTTTCATTGATGCCCCTCCTATAAAGACTCATTAGCTGGGATTCCAATAATTCCCACCTTCATCACATTTCAAAGCCCCTTTGACTTGTTGAGACATTCCAGGGAGTAGAACATGAACCACTTTGAGGATTTATTTTTCCCCTGTCTATCAAAAACGTTTCCCAGACGGCTAGCACCGTGTTGGAGTAGTAGCGGACAAACACATTATTTACCTTCTAGAAGCTCTTCCTCCCTGCTTCAAGTTCCATGTGAGCCAGGCTGGGCTGGGGAACAAAATCCCTGTAAAGTTGTCAAGGTATCTCTTTGGGACAAACCCCCAAATCCCAGTAAAGTTTGATCTCATTGGTCATAGCTTCCATAGGAATCACCAAAGTAACTGCTTTTATCCAAGTGTGTCAAGTTGACATATTTTACTTTAATAATAAGACATAAAAAATCATTAACCATATAGCATACATCTACTACAGTATGCTGAGAACTGAAATATGTAAATTAGCACTCAGAAGAAACTCTTTCACTTCATGCTTCATCAGAACGGCATCTTTCCGCAGCTAAAGGTCATTCATCAATCTAGTTTTTGTTATAAAGATTCGTTTCTCACTAGCGAAAGTTACTTTTTTTTACTTCTGCACTACGCCTTTCTGTTCCCATATGGCTCAGAATGGGCTGTTGGCACAATCTATCTGTCCTCCAGAGTTATTGGAAAGTGATTCTCCAACCCCCACATCCCTGGAAGTTAATTTATCATCCTGCTGAGTTCATCTGATCTTCCTGAATCTTCCGTGGCTTTTTTACATCCATAACTGCTGTTTTCCTGGCATGGTGTCCAGATAAGCACTGCCTACCTTTTCCTACAGCTGTTCCACCATCAATATGCCCCAGTGATGGCCCCACACCCATGTCCATTTAGGCAGCACTAATTGAACATTGGAGAGGGGACTAAGAAGTGGGTATGATCAAAACATATCGTATACATGCGTGAATGTTCAAGGAATAAATAAAAATATTAGAAAAGAAGAAAGAGCCCATGACTCTTAGGGACTTCCTGAAGAAAGTATTGAAGAGCGCCTCCTAAGTGGCTACCAATGCCTCTTGGGATTTCATAGTTTATTCCAAACATCAGTAGTCTATCTTCCATTGCAATGCCTGTAACTGTGTAACTGTTATTCCATTGGGACACTTTAAGAACTAACCACGCCCATCCCAGCCACTTTTGGACTGCCGCCATCCTCTCTCTCTCTCTGGTGCCTGTGTGTGTGTGTGTGTGTGTGTGTGTGTGTGTGTGTGTGTGTGTACGCGTGTGTGTATTTGTCTCATCTCGTGTGTACGTGTGTCTTTGTTTTCTCTCTGTTTTCTCTCCTTTAAGCAATAAATGTCTCCCTCTTCTTTAAATAATACTATGTCCTATGAGCCTTGTAACCGCCTGCCTGACTCCCCCGGCTGCATGGCGTTGCAGGGACTCACGGCCATCCTTGCCGAACTCTGCAAGCCGCGGGGCCATCCCATCATCATATTCTTTTAAAAAGAACAATATTTTGGTGCCTGGTGTTTCTGGGCTCGGGAAGGGGTACTTTCTGCCCCGTCGCTGGCATCCATTACAGCTCGTGTCCTCTGTTAAGCCCGTACATTCCCGCACCTGGGGACCTGGGGTTCCCAGGCTTCTTCCTCTTTATTTCAGTCTTTTCTTCCTTCCAACCTTTCTCGCGGAGGTAATTGGCTGATCCGGTTCAGCCTATACCCCCCACATGTGGATGGAGGACGCTCCCCCAACATGTCCTGGGTGGTCGATTTGCATCTCACCTAAACGGGGAGCCATTCCCCATAGGCTCGAGATGCCACGGTTTTTTTGTGAGTTTTTCACGGTCTTGACCTGGGAAAGCAAGTTGTACCAGCCTAAATATGCCTTAAATTGTCTGTTTATACGGGTTTTTCACGACTCAGACTCTGGATAACAACCAGGCGGCCCCCGGCTTTTAAAATTCCCACGGTCTTTCCATTCAAGCCGCAACACGTGGCCGCCGCCATGTTCACTGGGGTCAGGTGACTTTATTGCTAGATTCACTGAGAGCCAGATCACGCGACCAGGCCCTCCCACTGTTATGTATGTCCCACTTTCCCCTCCCCCTCCTCAGTGTTCACTGAAATCTCTCCTTAGCTGTAATTACAGGTGTTTTGCATAGTGACATGCTTTCTGATAGGGCCCATCAGAAACATACACTTTGCCTAATTCCTGTTCTCTATGTATAATGATTGTTCATTCATCTTGTTTCAGACTACAAAATCATAAACTGGTATGTACTTTTAATCTTAATGTTACAAACAGTTTTTTTCTTTCTGTCTGTCTTTTTACAAATGTGGATCTTACCTATTACAGTCAAACTCAAACCCAATCTTCCAGACAGATTCTATACTACAACTATACCTAATAATCAGCCCTCAACTGCTCAGAGATCTGGGGAATGCGATATTTAAATGTTTAATTATTTAAAAAACTTTTCATAACCAAAAGAGACAGGTTGGCTCCTAGCAAGCACTCTGTTTCCTCCAAGAAGACAAAAGAAAGACGGTCATGTCACTGACCAGCATCCATCTGCAGTTTGCTTCGACTGCCAAGCGCTGACCATTGGGCAAAAACTGCCTATCACCTAAACTGGAGACCTCCAAACGTGGACAGAATCACTGGAATCGATAGTCTAGCTGCACAGGTAAGGTAGACCTGTCTTCCTAAAGATTTCTTAGTCCACAGGGTCTTCAAAAGCCTGGCAGCTCTACATTAAACAACAAAGGTCAAATGCAACCTTCAGCGACCAGGGAGGACCAAAGAGTAGCTCTGGGTGCCAACCAAGTAAGTTCTCTGTCATTTTTTAATCAGTAACTCAAGTAAAATCTTATCCTTCTCAAAGATCTCTGACAGTTTGATAGCTGAGAGGTTTTGCCAGATTGTCTCACCAAATAAAAATACTTTTCATTATAGTTTCTGTTTTTACAAACCCAAGGAGTTCTTAATACAATGTATATGTCTAAAACTTCTGTTTTTCTTACAAGTTCCAGGGAGCCAAATTAAAAAAACATCATAAACAGGTCAGATACAAACCCCTTAATTCCCTGGTCCTAAAATTTTTTCTCAATTTAACTTTGTCTTCTGTTCTGCCAACACCCTAACCAGGTCCAAGGGACACCAGACATTTCCATGCCACAGACACCTGTCCTGTCGGAAGCAGAAACCAGCTATGCCAAGACGTGACCAGCACCCAGCTTCTCTCAGATCTTTCTTACCCCCACACCCCCCTCAAAGACGACGCCCACAAATCAGCCGGAAGCAGTCTTGAGAATTCGCCGCCCCAATTCTTTCAACCTATAACGTCTAACCTTCTACTTTTTATTATAAAAAGGATCCGGGAATGTTATTCCATTGGGACACTTTAAGAACTAACCACGCCCATCCCAGCCACTTTTGGACTGCCGCCATCCTCTCTCTCTCTCTGGTGCCTGTGTGTGTGTGTGTGTGTGTGTGTGTGTGTGTGTGTGTGTGTGTACGCGTGTGTGTATTTGTCTCATCTCGTGTGTACGTGTGTCTTTGTTTTCTCTCTGTTTTCTCTCCTTTAAGCAAGAAATGTCTCCCTCTTCTTTAAATAATACTATGTCCTATGAGCCTTTTATCCGCCGTAACCACCCGCCTGACTCCCCCGGCCGCATGGCGTTGCAGGGACTCACGGCCATCCTTGCCGGACTCTGCAAGCCGCGGGGCCATCCCATCATCATATTCTTTTAAAAAGAACAATAGTAACATATAAAGAAAATATAGCCAGCTCATAATCTTGAAGATTTAAAACCGTGGTGTAATCCTGGCAAGGGGTTTGTTGGCTGAGTCACGTGGAAAATTGAATCACAATAGGCGGACAGGTGAAAGAAATGACTCACATGATGAGACCGAATCCTGGGTGAGAATGAACCAGTTTTAATCATTCATAGCCCCCTCTCTTGAGGGTTACTAGGGTCTCTGTAGGTCAGTGTTAAACCTTCCGAAAGCAACATCCACAGAGCCCTAATAACCTTGAATTAAGCTTCATCACATAGCACTTCCATACCTCTCAATATCACCATACTGAGGACCAAGCTGCCATCACATGAACCCATTAAGACATTCAAACCATACCATACACCAAGATGTTCTTGTCCTGGTTATGTGGCATTTGAATATTGAAGTAAAGTAAAAGGTTATATCAGTTTCTTCCAATGATGGCCACACACAAGGTTGCTGCAGTTCAACCATCAGTGAACCCAATCCTTGGGGTGCCACAACTAAGCTGTCATTTTTTCAGAGTGGAAAAAAGAGTCATGAATCAAGAACAAAACTTAAACCACCAGATTAGCAGTCCTGATCCTTCGAAATAGTCAGCATGATGAAATGCAGCAAGTTGGAAATTTCCATTCCCCACACACTGGGCAACATTTAAAATAGGGGGCAATCCTGCTACCAGAAAGTTCACTCATGAAACTCCGAATTATCACATAAATCAAACACACTAAGGGATAAATCTCTGTATTGATGCTACAACTTCCTGAGTAATGTAAGACATAAACCCAGCCTCTCTAGCTACAACCAGTAATTCCGTCTTCCTGTCCCTGGCAGACAGGTGAAACCTGGGCACTCCTGCACTCAGCTTCCTGGGATTTCATTGAAAATAATATCTCCATTCTCCTCTCATGTGTGTCTTAGCCTTGTCTTCACTAGAGAGCTGGCTGCCCTTTCCATTCAGGGCCTACTTGTACAGCAAACACTAAACTCTCTCTCCCTTCCCCTCCCCCCTCACTCTCCCTCTTTTTTCTGGCGGTTTCATATGTGCATATAATGAATTTTAGCCACTCTCCCTCCCCATTACCCTTTCTCTCCCCTTCCCTCTAACATACTTCTTCCTAGCAAATTTCCCTGCTTTCAAGGTTTTTTTCCTGTGAATGACCCCCTGAGTTTAATTGAGGCCGTTTGCATGAGCATGGCTGCGAGGTTATTACTGAAGCAAGGCCAGCTTAAAAGCACCTACATCACTAACTGCAATTAGTAAGTAGTTAAATGACATCCCTACAACCAGCACCCGTCGTCACCTGTCACTCATCTCTCAGGGAGGCATGGGGCCTTGTGACTTATGCAGGTCATCGAAAGCTGTTCAAGAGTGCGATGGCTGTATCTTAGCGAGATGTTCTTTCGTTGTGCGTTCCTCTGGCTGTCTCCTCCTCTCCTTCCTCCTCCTTTCAAGAAGGTCTCGTTTATCTCAAGTTGGCCTCCAGCTTTCTCATGCTGAAGATGGACTTGGGCTCCTGATCTTCCTCTCCCTGTCTCCTTGGTTCTGGGAATACCAGTGTGAGCCACCACACCCAGTTCTTTTGGGACTCCTGATGAAACCCAGATGCCTCATACATGTATACTAAGCAAGATTTCTACTAAGCATCAGCCCCTAGGAAACCTGTTATGAGCACCAATTATACCATCGTCTTTCCTTACTACTAACACTGTCCCTGTTTTCAAAACAAAAAACAAAACCTACTAGATAATAATAAGCAAGCACAAGCCAGATGCTGTCTTACTTTCTTGTTTATGATAATTCTTTTCCATGGCAGGCCCTCATCACCTATATCTCCTTCACTGTAGCCATTAGATAGATGATGGTCTCAGAATGCCTTTCAAATACCCACTGCTTTTGTTTGGTTTTTGTCTGCCACAATCTTACCAAATACTTTATCATTCAACTGGTAACTTTCTGTCTTGACTAATGATTTTTTCTTTGAACCACTGTCCCTTTTGACTACCTCATCTCCCACATTAATGACCATGACTTTAACGCTACTACTATAGCACTGAATTGTAAACAACGAAAGGCAGAAAATCCATCCTGAGAAACAGAAGGGCTTCACTGCCGCAGTTACTGGAAAGGAACTCTCACAGAAAGGAAAACTCACAGAAAACCATTAACTTTTCCATCTGAGCAACAAATGGAGCATCTCCAGAGTCAATAATGTTTCATCTGACTCATAACTGTCTGGGAATAACACTTCAGGGACTGTGAAGATGGTTCCATTGGTTAAAACCCAATCACACAAGCAAGAAGTCCTGAATTTGCATCCCCAGTGCCCACTAAAAGCCAGGCACAGACAACTGCACATGCCTATAATGTCAGATCCAAAGGAAGCTACAGAGATGTGTGGATCTCCGTATGTATTCAGCCAGCCTACCCAAATTGGTGAACTCCAGATCCATTAAGAGTAAGACCTTTTCCCAAAAATAAGCCATCTGGGAAGACACTAACATCAACCTCTCTCTCCGTGCCTACCTCTCTCTCCCTAGCCCTTTTCTCTCTCACACACACACATATAGAGGCACATGCACATACGTGCACACAAACACATGCACCACACACATGCACAAAGTATTTTAGATTTTAAACATTGAATATAGAAGTGTTTTTAATAAGACTGCTAACATATGTCTACTAAGAACTTCTTGACTGATTATACTTTTCACTGCCTTTTCTATCCACTCAAGGATTTCTGGTTAGAAGGCTTTACCTTGAGGTATAATATTTAAGTTTTGTTTTATTCCTCAGTTTATGTGTGTCTGCCTCAAGTGTACAGGTGTCCATATAGGCCAGAATAGGGCATTGGACCCCCTGGAGCTAGAGTTACAGGATGTCATGAGCCTCGCAACATGGGTGCTAAGGACTGAACTTCTGTCTTCTGGAGGAGCAGCAAGAACTCTTAACCACTAAGCTATCTCTCCAGCAACATAAAATGAATCTTAAAGATAAAAATCAAACTGTTCATTTCACTATTATATAATTTCTAGTAACCATGTGATTGATAACTTCTAGTACCTAGCACTGGGCCTAACACACAGAGGGAGCTCTCGATATAGGACTGTTGTATGGACGCAGGGGCTGATGGACGCCTGTTGGGAGCACAAAGTAGTGAGACTCATTTCCGTGCATTGCGCTTGAAAGTTCATCCATTACTTCAAAGTCAAGGCAGATATGCTGTTTGCTGAGTGAGTACCCGGTATGAAAAGGTGTAGATGACTGGATGTAGATCAAGGCCAAGCCCAGCAGTGATGACACATCTCCATGTTGTTTGGCTTCATTTTTCTTCTGCCTGTCACAACTCCCAGCCTTCCTGTCAGAACACATCCTGTCTTTCTTATTGAAACTATTATTCATAGACAAGGTATCTGCAAGGAAAAACATAACAGGAAGGCTCATAGTTCACATTCATTCTTCTCAAAGACACCTAAGTCAGTCCTCCTCCTTCAACTCCCCAGCATGCATACACCAACCTGCCTTAAAGAAATTTACCCACCTTGCCCTAGGGAAAATCAATATATCTTAATCTTGAAAAGAATATCAAGGGGCAAAAAAAGTATGACTTCAATTTGTTACAGAGCAGCAACATCCTCTATTTTGACTTCATGAATCATGTCAGCCTTGGAAAAGCAACACATTCACAGGACCTAGACTTGCCCCATGAAGACAAGTCCAAGTCCAGACACTTCTGCAAAGGCTGGAGCATGCTCAGTCTTAGGTTCTCAGTCTTAGGAAGAACCATGTGGCCAAACCACTGAGGAATTTGCATCTGCCCTGTGGGAATGTGGTAGATATCACTGGAACAGAACCCAAGATTCAAGCAAGCACTGCTCTTAATTCAAAACTCTGTGTGTTGATGAGAGTAAGGGTGAACAGTTAGAATGAGCATAAACACCACACTAAATCTCTCCCTTCTTCAAATTGTGGTGAGACATAAATCCAGAAGAGATGTTTGGAATAGGTTATAGGGCAATGTCTTTTTCTTTTAAAAGCAAACCTTAATTGCACATAGTGATAGGTTTCATGAGGACATTTAATGCGCAAAACAATCCCACACCAGTTTGAATTTACAGGGGTATTTATTTTAGGGGTAAAACTTACAGAACACCGACAGTCAGAAAAGGAGTCTAGTCGCTGGAGTAAGAGCTGAAACCAAGAGCGGAACCAAGAGAGCAAGCAGAGGACTGTCTGAGCAGAAAAATAGACCACGCCCCAGTGGGCTGGTATTTCAGCAGCTATTGGCTGATGGAGCAGAAGAAGCTCCTGCAGCAGACATTTGTATGTGTGTATTGTTTGGAGGGTAATTTGGCTTTGGCCATCTATTACCCCCATTGATCTCCAGGGTTTATTCAGCTTACCTGGCTGACTAGGCAGGTGTCCCCTTACTCCCAGACTACTTTATGTGTATTCTTCCCAAAGCTCAGTCAAAGAGGATAACCTTCCCCAAATAGAGGAGGACTGGTCTTTGGTCAAGGGCATAGCAGTAGCTATACTCTCTGTCTTCTTGCTTCCTTCTTCCTCAGTCAACAGTATCCAGTGAATAGTCCATTGTCCTGCCTTCCAACTCAATTATGTAGTCTAAAATGGTTCTATCTTCCAAGGCAGCTATGTACTGTAATAGTGGTCCTGCTCCCTAACTCAACTATGTGCTCTAGTTATGTAGGAAAAATACACAGATATCTTCCACAAAAGATCAAGAAGATGAAGATAGCCTGTTTCTGTTAAGCAATCAGGTCATCATTAGTTCAAGATCATCCAAGAATGAAAAACTAGAATGCTTCTATAGAACATAAACATCAATAAAAACCAATATCAATAGCTGGGAAAGATAATTTACAGATTGCTGATGGTACTTATATATGATCTCATTGAACATATAGAAGCTTGTAAGATGAAAAGATGGTTCCATGATTAAAGTGAGATTGTAAGTATTGATTTAAATGGGACCTGGTTGTAGGTATGCTGCTGGTCCCATTGTGTAGTAAGGAGAGAGAGCTGCTTGTTGGTTCCCAGCCGTTCAGCCCCAAAATAATCACACAGAAACTGTATTAATTAAATCACTGCTTGGCCCATTAGCTTTTGCTTCTTATTGGCTAACTATAACATATTATTTTAACCCATTTCTAATAATCTGTGTATTGCCATATGGCTGTTGCTTTCCGGCAAGATTCCAACTGGCATCTGCCTCTGGTGGTGCTACATGGCTTTTCTCTAACTTTGCCTCCCTTCTCCCAGCATTCAGTTTAGTTTTTCCTGCCTAGCTCTGTTCCCCTATAGCTTGCAATAGTCCCAAAGCAGTTCCTTTATTTATCAATGGTAATCATAGCAAACCGAGGAAAATCCCACATAGCCTCCCCTTTTCTGTTTAAATAAAAAGGAAGGTTTTAACTTTAACATTGTAAAATTACACAAAACAGTTATCAAGCAAGAATTACAGTTATATATATTTTATCTTTTATCAACTTACTACCTGGATAGTCACCCATAAAGAAATGAGTGCTAAACTTGCCTAAAGGTGAGACTGTCCTTTAGGGTTCCTGTTTCATGAAAGAGTCTGCAAGACATTCTGCAGGATGTAATTTTACTATGTTAAGGTTAAAAACCTTCCTTTTTATTTAAACAGAAAATGGGAGGTGATGTAAAATTTCCCTCTGTCTGCTATGATTACCACTGACAAATAAAGGAACTGCTTTGGGCCTATAGCAAGCTATAGGGGAACAGAGGTAGGTAGGGGAAACTAAACTGAATGCTGCGAGAAAGGAGGCAGAGTCAGAGAGAAGCCTTGTAGCCCCGCCAGAGACAGATGCCAGTTGGAATCTTGCCAGTAAGCCACAGCCACTAGATGATACACAGATTACTAGAAATGGGTTAAATTAATATGTAAGAGTTAGCCAATAAGAAGCTAGAGCTAACAGGCCAAGCAGTGATTTAACAGTTTCTGTATGATTATTTAAGTTCTGGGCAGCCGGGAACCAACCAGCAGCCCCTGCCTCCCTGCAACACCATTGTGGGGGTTGAGGTGACCCATCTGTGAAACACTCTTCTTCTCACCTCTGTCACTAAATACTCCACTTGTGAATTGGCCCTTTGAGACAGTTTCCCATCTTCTAGAAAAGAAGTTTCCTGAAGAGTTTGTCACAAGGTAAAGACAAGAGGATGAAGTTTGCCTCAGGATTCTAACTCAGAGGCAAGTCTAGAAACATCCACACATCAATAGTGCTCCCTCAAATCTACAGTCATATATAGCTTTGGTTGACTTGCTGTCTCTACCACAACTGAACTCTCTCAGAGCATGAGATGCCCATGGGTTATAAATAATGGAACTCAACAAGATGTTTCTAAAGGCAAAATTCATAGACTAGCTCTTAAAAACTGAATAAAAGGAGGAAGGTATTGCTTCTCTTACATAAACATTACTAGCCTCCCTACTAGCACTGAAGAAGGTCCCATCACTGTATGGAAGTCATTCTTCACATGTTACATGGTGAATGAGAGCCATGGGACAAAAGGAGAAGAGATACTACGTGCCTCTGGCTTACAAGTGGACCCCCACTTTGTTCACCTATGATTCCCAAGTCTCTGTGGTCAGCTCTTATTTTTTATATGATTTTTTCTTTATTTTTATTTATTTATTCTGGTCTTTAATGATTAAACATTCAGCTCCCAGCAGCACTTTATGTTGTTTTTTTAATTTACTTATTTATTTATTTATAAAAATTTCCACTTCCTCCCCTCCTCCCAATACCCTCCCATTCCCCCCCACTCCCTCTCCTCCAGCACCTTATGTTTGAACTCATATTTGCATATATTTTGTTTTCCATTGTTTTCTCTGCATAGATTCTCATTAAAACACCTTCCCAAATTAAATGCATTCAAAAGTGCTATAAGTTACCCAGAGCTCAGAATTAGTCAGTTTTAATGGACACATGCTTAGGTTACTTTGCCTACTGCTATGACCAAACACTTGATGAGAAGTAACTTATCAGAGGAGGTTTTATCTGAGATTCTAGTTTACAAAAATACTTTCCTTCGTGGTGTGGAAGGCCACTCAGTGGAAATGGCTTGCAGCTATAGAAAAAGGAACCTGACAATATGTGCTCACATTTAAAGCACATATTGACAGAGAGTGCAAGAAGAGGAACCAGGCCATAAACTCTCTCACACCACCCTCCTCACCACCACTACCTACCACCACCACCCACCACCACCCACCACTACCCAACCCACCCATCCTACACACCACCACTCACCCCACCCACCACCATCCACCACCACCACCCATCACTACCCACACCACCCACCACCACCTACCCCACCCACCACCACCCACCCCACATACCACCACCCACCACCACCACCCCAATGACCTACTTCCTCCAATGAGGCTCTGCCTCCTAAACTTTCCACACCCAAAGGGAAGAGAAAACATCAAGGAAACTGTCTTCCAGACAAAAATCCCACCACTAGCTGAGGAGATGGCAGCATTTACAGTTGCTGAGATAAGGAAAATCAGTTTTCTTTCATGATGTGACCCCAGTTGGCTGACTATACACCAGAAGAGAACCAGTTCCTAAGATTAGCTTGGCAATGCAAACTGAATTCAATGGGCAAAGAAGAAAAAAGTAATTTTAAAGTTGTATGACAGGAGAGGGTAGAGAGAGTGGTAATTGGAGGAGTTGGGAGAATGGGGTAAATATTTTCAAAATACATTGGAAGAAAGTCTCAAATTTTTTAATTAAAATGTTGCCCCAAAAGAGTACACTTCCATACCCTGCGAAAATAGCACCTCCACAGGAGACCAAGAGTTCCAACATATGAGCCTGGGGGAAAGGGATAGCATATATTTAAACAACAACATAGAGAAATCTACTTCTAAACCTTAAGCTCAACTTTTTAAAAATTTCCCATGCTACCAGACCTTTAGCTTTTTTATGTACCAACTGCCAAACTACTTAGATTTTTTAAAAAAGAAAACCCTACGTCTATAAAAGGACTGAGCATGCAAATCAAAACAACCAAAATTCTTGTGATGGCTACCATGATAATCATGACATGGCTGAAGATGAGTCAGAAGAGTCAAGAAGCTGAGACCCCGAAGGTCCTGTTTCTCGGTTCCCAAGGATGTCTGTTATCTAAATGTGGACAAACAGGATAAGACAGGATATGGAAACCAGACAGTTACAGCCAGGAAGAGTCAAGATAAGGCCAACAAAATATTTCCAGAAATCTCAAGTAATGGCCTGGCAGCAGCTGCTCATTAAAGGAGGCTTCAGGGTCCTGCCCTAGTGACCAAAGAATTTTACATTTGGTTAGAAGCATTTGGCCTCTAAATCTAACCAAAGGAGGTATCCAAGGAATATTAAGCACTTTCATATCAGATATTCTATTTTACTGATAGATACTTTCATTCTCAGCATTGTCTGACAATGATACAAAGATGTAAGAAAAACATATCTGACCTGGGAGGTATGAATCCTAGTTTCTCCTTAAGCTAGGGGCTTCTCTAGCTAGCTATGGCACAGTCAACCGTAAATTCTTCATTTCTGATCATCTAAATTTATGCCAGATTTAAAAGTCTTCCATCACTTGATACTTGATTGAGCTCATGAAATACCTTGTTGGGGGATATTTGATCACATTGTGAACCCCAAGTTTGCATTTGCGTTAATTAACTAAAATTAACCTTGGCTCAGGAGGATGCACTAACAACTAGTTGACACAAGGTAACCATAGAGCCTTAGAGGGCATCCAGGAGAGACAGAGACACACAGGAAGTAGTGAGGTGGGGTTTGGGGTGGTGCAGGTTTTTCCCATTTGGTGAAGCAGAAGCATGGGTCTTCTGTGGACACCAGTGAGGAGAAAGGGTTAGCTAGTTACTGCTTAGCTTGTCTGAGCCCGCAGATTTTCACCACCACCTTTGAATCTCAAGTCTCGTTTATAATTATAAAAGTAGAGATTTAGTTAAAGCTACAGTTAGGGGCTGCAATGGGGACACTGCCTGCAGGAGCAGAAGTCTCAGGCTGCGGCCTGAAAGGCCAGGCTGCTGCTAGAGAAGCAGACGGGTAACTGCGGGTCACAGATCATGGGCTGAGGTAGCAGTAGATGAAGCAAAGTAATAACAACAGCACCTAGGAGTGTTTGAGATGTAGTAGGAACAACAGTAGCTAGTAATAACAACAAACAGTACCTAGTAATTACAACAGTGCCTAGTAATAATAACAGTACTTAGTAATAACAACAATACCTAGAACTGTTTGAGATGTAGTAGGAACAACAGTAGCTAGTAATAGCAACAGTAATAACAACAGCTCCTAGGACTGTTTGAGATGTAGTAGGAATACACAAGAAGTATATTTTTAAATGATGTTAACCTTTTATCAGTTTGTATTCTAGCTTGCATGGAAACATGATATCCTAAAAGGGCTCTGTGGGATCTCCTTCATCTGTTTTCCATGCTGTGATGCCCTGAAGTAGTTAGGCTAAGATCAAAGAAGTATAATGACAGTAGTGAAAGAACAGAGAATTAGCAAGAGACCTAAGCCAGAAAGAAGCAAGGCAGAGGCAAGGCACACCAGGCTTTAGGTATGACGGTCCCAGAGATGAAGGCTTCAAATGACAAGAGTTCAGCAGCTGAGAGACTAAGGATTATTGTGGCCTAAGATTTCTGGAATGTTTTCCCAGTAATGCAATCTAATCAGGACCCAAAATGGGGCGGGTGGGAGCTGAAAAGAAAGTAAAAAGTTCTACACAGACAAATAGAATTTAGAAGAAAAGTAAATTTAGTATGTTTATGGCAGAATGACTAAATTTCACCAATAAGTAAAAAGTTTTCTGTTAGAGAAAACAAATACTTGTTTTTTTAAAAAAAATAATAAAACCTGCAAATATTCATGTAAACAATGAGCATGTGCATCATGTTAGGGTGTTGGTTGGTTTTTGTCAACTTGGCATGAACCTAGACATACCTGGAAAAGAGAGTCTTAATAGAGAAAATGCCTCCTAAAGATTGGCCTGTAGGCAAGACCATGGAGTATTTTTTTGATTGGTGATTGACATGGGAGAGTCCAGCTTGTTTGCGGAAGTGCCAGCCCTAGGCAGGTGGTCCTGGATAGTATAAGAACCAGGCAGAGCAAGCCATGAGGAGCAAGTCAGTATGTAACATTCCTCCATCACCTCTGCTTCCGCTTTCCTGCCCTGATTTTCTTCACTGATGGATTGCGACCTGAGGGTTGTAGGATGAAATAAACCCTTTCCTACCCAAGTTGCTTTTTGGTCATAGTGCTTTATCAGAGCAACAGAAACCCTTAAGCGTCAGTTATGTTTCCAGAACTCTGCAGGAATCAGAGAAACAACAGGCGAAATCTCTGCCGTCCCAGGCCACACATGCTGATTAGGAAAAGAAAACAATATGCAAGTGAAATGCAGAATATACCAAATGCGAAATTACAGCTACGTAGAAAAATTAACCAAAGGAAGGTGATACGCTGGTCGGGAGAGGCCTTAGCACTAATTAAGGACTACAGTGTAGGAGAGAAATCAGGCATGCTCTGGTGGCCAGCCCACTTGGCACACTGCACTTCAAAATAAGAAGTGTGCTACAGCATGCTCCTGTAATCCAACACTGCATTCTGAAGTAGTTTGAGTAGTCAGTAGCTGGCATGCGCACTCCATGTCTCCTTTTACGTGCTTCTTCCACGTAGAGACACTAGGGATCTGAGCGCTCACCATCCAATCCGAGGTAGTGCACTAACCCATCACAGTTGATAGTCGTGGTTGCTTACATGCAATAAAGAGACCTGAAACCGTCTCCAGAGTGGTTCATTTCTGGGTCTTTTACCAAACCACAGGCATTGCAATCTTGCCAGGGTACACCCTGGTAATAATATTGGGGAAATAACTAGTTAATACTCACTTCAAGACCGTGCAGTTCTTCAGCTGCGTTTCCATTGTCTGGTTCAAAACCAGCTTGCTGTTCGTAAACGCATTTCCACTCTCCGCCTTCGTGCTTCACTCGTCATAGGACAACAGGGATCAAATATCTGCCTGAAAATTCCATCAAGCTTATCTACCCAAGTCTTGGAATTCAGTCCCAACTTTGATGGAGCAATGACGCAGCATAGCATAAAAGCTGAGACACCCACCTTGGCTGTATCTTCCTGGAGCAATTCTGTCTGGGGAAAACCCAGGACCTCAGTTTTCTCTAGACACTGGAAATCACACATGGTTTCGTAGTAAGATGGAGATGTTACAGTGAAGTACCTGGAAAGAGGAGGCCAAGAGGCTGTTACCTAAGGACAAGAGGCTTGCAGAGGGCAGAAGGAAACACAAAGGATGAGAAAACAAAGTAAAGAGCTGTTCAAAGACAATCTGCTTGGGCCAATAATGAATGTACTGGAGTGAAAGACCTATTATTCAAATGTTACAAATATCAATCTGGGGGCAAATGGAGGAGGTTTTAAAGGAACATACATTTGAGCCTGGGCATCATGGTTCCTGTGTAATTTCATAACAATGAAGGCGGTGAGGAGGCAGGTACATGTAGACCACTAGAGGGGAGAGCATTAGAGTATGGCTAGAACTTTAGGTCTGGAGAAATGAAGATGAGAATGTGAAGCGCAAACTGGTCTTAATAATAAAAACCTGGAGTCTGATATGGGGTAAATGCTGAAAGATCAGAGTCAAAGAAGCAAGTTCCAGCCCCCTCTTACTTCGCTAACTTCTCAGCCTGAAAGGGAGAGAACACCTGTCTACATCCGCCTTATATTCCTCTCTTCACTCAGCCATATCCTGTTTTGTTTCCTTCTCCCTAGTGCTGGGATTAAAGGTGTGTGCCTCCCAAGTACTGGGATCAAAGGCATGAGGTCCTAAATACTTGGATTAAAGGTATGTGCCACCAATGCTTGGCCTCTACGGTTAAGTAGTGCCTAGCTCCACCCTCTGACCTTCAGGCAAGCTTTATTTGTGGGAGCACAAACAAAATATCAGCACAAGGATGATCTACAGAGAAAAGAGAGATGAGTCCTTCCAATAAGCCCATTGAGACCCCAGGGAAGGGATTAAAGAAATATAACTGCAGGGTACCAGAGTACGTAGGAGCCAGCTTCAGAAAATGCAAGGCAAGAGGAGAAGGAGGATGAGGAGGATGAGAAGTGTGGTGTATAAGGCACTGACTCCCACAGAGGTGTCAGCCAAGAGTTAAACGAACACCTCTAAGCTTAACAAAGTCACTGGGTATCTTTAATGAGCTGGATATGGAACTCTGTCTCTATCTTATTCCTCTATGTACTCATTCACATCCCCCGGGATCCAGTCTGCCTGTCTGGAGTGTGGGGATCCAGTCACTATAATCACCTTTTATTATGGAGATAAGGGATAACCAATCATTTAACACAAAGCAAATACCAGTACCTTGTAAAGCCATTCTTTGACACCTTCCCAGTTCAGGACCCTTAAGGAGCTGTCGCTAGCAAAACTGAGAATTTGTGCTGCAGACTGTTGTGTAAACGAGCTTGCGTCACTTACAGCAGAAGTGGTGAACAGCGATGGCTGCTTGAAAGCCTCTGTGTGGGCTAGCATCCTGAGGACCAGACACCCTCCTTACAGGGGAGGATGCTTGGGGGACTTGAATGGGAGAAGGGGTTGGTCGGCGGTTAGTTAAGTTTACTTTTGTTTTATTTTTTACTTATCTATACCATATAGAGAATATAGTAGTTTAAATGAGAAATGTTCCCATTAGTCTCAGGTGTTTGGACACTTGGCTGCCGAGATCTGCCCAACTATTTAGGATTGACCTGACTGAGGAGACTCAGGCAATAAGAAATGAAGAAATGACAGATACAGGTACAGGAAAGCCAGGATCGGGTGGGCTACGCACTCTGATGGAGATGCACCAGCAGCACGGAAATTCGGTGTGTTTATTACATAGAGCTGAGTAAGGAGGTAGGTTTATTATATAGAGCTGAGTGTGGCCAGTTAGATAATGTTGGTTGGGGCTCTCTGTAGGGGAGTGATCTCAGGCTACAACATGGGGAGGAAAAAGCTGTGGCTGATACCCTCTATCCACATTGTCAGCATCAGTACTTGGACCAGCAGAACATGAGACTGAGGCACTGGCGTCCTTCCCAAAGCCATCCTCAGCATGTCAACAATGCACATTCACTTAGAATCTTAAAAACAAATCAACAGAAACCGCCGTGTCTTGTGCCGCTTTCCCCTGCATATTTTACTTCCCACTTCCCTTCCGTAGAACATTAGTGACTTAGCTCATTACTGTGACCAATCCTAACAAAAACAATTTAAAGAAGGAAAGATTCGTTACAGCTCACAACTTGAGGATGAAGTCTGTCATAACAGGGAATTCACGGCATCAGGAACAAGATGCAGCTGGTCTTAATGCAGCCACAGTCAGTAACCAGCGATGGGAGCTGATGCTCAATGTACATTCTCCTTTTTATTCAGTCCAGGACCAGTCCGTGGAAGAATGCTACCCACATTCAGCCTATGTCTTCCCACCTCAACTAACCTTCCCATCTCAATTAATCTAGAAATGTCCCTGTATGTGCACTTAAAGATTTGTTTTCCTGTTAATTCTAAACTCCATGAAGTTGATATTCAAGATTAACCATAAAAATGACTGAGGTGGCTTTTTAAAAAAAAAAAAAAAAAAAAAAAGACCCTTCATCCTTTCAAATGTGATGCTCCCCCAACTTCTGAAGCACGTATGAATGATCCTGTTTGACCTTCCACCCATGACACTGGTCAGATTTCCGTAAGCCTTTGGTTGATTTCTAAATACTGTTGCCAGCTGACACCTTCCTATGATGAAATTGAAACCCAGTATTACTGATGACAAGCATCTGACTCTTTACCACTATGTACAGTCAAAAGCTCCTGACACATTCTTCTCTTCATGAGACTTGGTCTCTGTAAGAACAATGTTGGGGACTCAAAAGAAATGCTAGCTCTTCAGAGGATCAGCATCACTCTTGCACTCTTCCAACACTGAAAGTGAGAGGGGTACCACATCTAGAAAACTCACGCTTGAAGAGGGGTCTCCACGGGAACATGTGCTGTCAAAGGAAGACTGCATCACCATCAGACCATCACCTGAGTCCCTATACACACACACCTAAAGTATCCAAAATGCCTCAGTATTATGTACAATAAATCCTCTTTTTTTTCTTTATCAGACCCATTTATACAATTCTGAACTTCTGTGCGGGGGGGGGGGGGATTATTTGTTCTTGCTTAAGGACCCTTTAAGTTTTCTCAACCTAGTGGCCCTGTAGATACACTTTTGACTCTAGTTTATAGTTCCTTCTGATTACCAGTGCTCTCAAGTTTTATCTTAGAACACTCATTAGTGTCTTCTCTGGGGAAACCATCTTGAACACAGATTGAAGCATCCCACTGCCTGCCAGTTTATCAAGAGCATTTGAACGTTTTAAAACTTAGGTGAAGGTTTGTCTTAAATTAAGTGAACTAAGCATACACTTTCCCATTTCAGATCAAGAATGATGGGGCTACCTGCTCGTTCTACTTCTGCCTTCTCATGAATAGATAGATCTACACAAAAGCCACAGCACTATGACTGTGCTGTGGTTACTTAGGCTCTATAACCTGTAGAAAATCTGGTGGCTAGACAACCACAAAGTTTAGCTTTTGTTCTTTAAAGAACAGTTTCTCTGACAAGAGTTTTAACCAAAAGGAAAATAGTTTTAATTTCTTAATTTAATTTCCTATAAAATCAGCATTTAATTGACAAAATCTAAGTAGAAAAGACCAAATAGCTGTACGGTCATTCTCTTAATGAATTGTGGGGCTCAAAACAATGGGAAATTCTATGCATGGCCTAGAAGAATACTTACTGATGGCAGAAAGGCTAAGGGGCACACAGTCAAAACCAGCAAGGACAGTGGTTCCATTAGATGGCAGGCACTCCAGAGACTGACACCATCCTCCCTATGGTTTCACATTCTACTTAATCAATTCTAGACAAGTCTTTTGCTTCCTCATGGTCCTCAGATTTTCAGCTGCCAGTTAATGACGGCTGCTTCGTCCTATGTCATCCTCACATTAACATCCTAACGTGTACCCTGACCCCAGTTTTCCCCACCTCACACCACTCCAATTGTCTATGTATCTTTCTGAGTCCAAGTCACCATCAAATCCCATCTCTTTGCAAAGGCCTTCACAGAATCCATGTGATTCTCAGCATATTGTGTGGTTCTTCAGTTACTTTGACTTGACTCTAGCTATTTCCGACAAACATCTTCAGCCCAGCTTGCATGTGTATTATATACCCTACAAGGACAGTCCTCCCTTCTTTATCATGTTCAAGGTAAAATTAACGGGTCTTATGTTAACAGTAATAGTACAATCAGAGGATAAAAGAAGGAGTGCATTTCACAGTCCTCCAAATGTGTCTACCTTGGTGAATAAAGTGAATCAGAGCCCTAAGGAAGATTTTAAGAAGTGTTTGGAAGATTCAGCATAGGACACCTCTCTTTAGACTTTTTCCCTCGCTGGAAAATTTATACCTTTCATCATGGTTGTAATATAATGGGCTTGCAGCGTGGGAAAGTATTAATGACTACGTTTGTGGTTACACAAATGTGACTTCCTGTTTATGAACTCAAGATATTCATCTGACTTGGAGGAATTTAGATCTTTACAGTACTGTAAGACTAATGTAGGACTCTATAAGCAAAAGAAATGGCACCTCTTCTTCTAGGCTGCATTTATATTTAAAAGCATCTGTTCAAATGTTAAGTATATCCACTAGAATCATAGACAATAATTTCTACTTGGGTACACCTCTTAATTTATCTGAAGCAATAAATAAAATGGAAGCTAGGAGCCTATGTCTTATAGTCTTTCTAAATGATTTTAGTGATGGGTCAGGCAGATGAACCACTGCCCTGAGGTTACAGAGTAATCATGTTCTGTGAACTGGAGTTCCTGTAAATGGCCATAAGCAAATTCTGTAAGGTTTTCATGACGGAAGCTGAAGCGTTTATCTAATTATTCTTTGTCAATAAAAACTTGGGAATCAGATATTGGGGTAAGAACCTGAATGACCAGAGAAGCAGTGGCAAAGTAACCAGAGACCTTCTCTCTCTCTCTCTCTCTCTCTCTCTCTCTCTCTCTTTCTCTCTCTCTCTCGTTTCTCTCCTTTTCCCTCTCTCTCTTCTTTTTCCAAAAAGGGGGAGAATCTTCTAAGCTCCTCTCTACTACTTCCTGTGACTGCCTATATGTCC